TGAAGTGCACTATCATGCTTAAGTGCTGAATTAAAAAGAAAACCACGCCTCCTGAATCTCAGCATATTGCAAATATAAAACAATCAACCTGAGGTAGATGGACAGATTATTCCATTAGGCTTAATTAGCTTGTTTTGTCAGAATTCTAACGTTGTGGTGGCCTTGCCTTTCCTCTGCCAGGAGGGATACTGACTCTTAGGAACTGATTGCTAGGTTTTATCATCCAGCACAGAGACTGAGGACTTTTGAACAACTTTGATTTTGAGTAAGGTTGGGGGGGGCGGGGGGGGGCGTGGTAGTGGTGGTGTCCTATTTTTTAAGCAGATTTCCAGTGCAGAAGCTTTGGTTTTCCACTCAGGGCCACTGTCAGCTTTTTCTAAACCACTCTTCCTTAACTGCAGAAGAAGAGACCTGCACACAAGATGATAGGAAGAAAGACAAGTTCATTGCTTAAGTCTTAAGTACAGACTCAAAGCCTCTCCAATACACATGATGGCAGGACCATTTCATGCTCCTTGTGGTATCGCATCTCTACACAGAGGCTACTTTGCCAATAGCTCTCATTTTAAAGGCTGATAGAGTTTGAGAGGCTATGGATTTTGGAGAGAAAATACTGTTGACTAAGGGTATAGTGCTTGACTCCAAAATACATGAATAGAACTATAACAAAATGAGGCACAGGAGCAGAGAATTGCAGTTTACATGGATTTAACTGCTGGCCAACTCCTGTTTGTATGGGCACCCACTACTATGGAGAAAAACTACTAATATCCTTCAACTCCAGACATGACTTCATATCCTAAGGCATGCGCCATCTAACTGTACCTTTCAAAGCCAGAATGATCACTCATGCTCTCACAGACCCCAAGAAAAAGCCACAGCCACCCTGAAACTTCTCTCCACAACTGTTTTGGCCCTGATGAATGCCTGGACCACAGACTGGATCATGGAACTGGAGCAAAGAGAATGTAACATAGCAGAAAGTTTGTGAGCTCTGGCTGTGCAGGAGAAGCGATGCTTCAGTGCTGCCAGATACGAGAAAGAGTCATCCAGACTGATTCATTCACATTCACCAGTTTTTGTTACCATTCCTGATGGGGCTTGTTGAGTACATACACTTCATTTTTATTGCCGCTGGCAGTGATGTGACCCTCTGCACTTCATTTATTAGGGATACAGAGAGTTTTCCTCCGTGTTGCCCAAGGGACCAGAACAGACTTTCCTCTTCATCCACCAAAAGCAAAGAGGGGAGAATAGGTGTCTTGAACTGACCCTGAAAAAGTCCCCGTGTTAGTTTTTACTTCACAAATGCTCAACTTGCACTCAGCAGGCGTTCTGTCTTCACTTCTGTACTTCAGGTATTTTTAAATTTACGAACAGCACTACTACAAAGACTTAATTAAGGACCAGTTAATTGTGAGACAGCAATGCTGACATCTTGGGTTCACACAAGCATCTCTCTTTTCCTTCTGGTTGTTGCAGACTTTCCTGCCCAGTAAAAAACTCGCCAGAGTCTTGGTACAGAAGTCTCGAGAAGGACAAGCAATCCAAGGGAATTCCCTTTACTCTACAGATCTTTCCTCCATTTGGTCAGTACAGTGTCACAGACAACTCATACAAAAGAAGTAACTGCCCAGCTATTGACTTTTGCTGAAATTATCTTTTTTCCCCCTTCCTTTTCTTTTTTTTTCTCTCAAGTACAGCTAAGAGGGGAATATATGAAATCTACCAGAGCTGAACTGCAATAGAACAGGAAAGCTACAGTTTTGCCTCACCACTTGAAGCACAGGCACAAAAAACGTACTATGAGATGGAGTAACATAAAAATATTGTCCTGCCTGCCACTGCAGTGGGAACTCCAAAAGTTGGGGAGCTGGAGAGAGAGGATGCCCAATTTTAGGAGGCTGCTCCAGTGTAAGATACATCTGGTAAAGTGGACGGAGACTGCATGGGTCAAAGAGTCAATTCCAGCCTTTTATGTTGGAGGTTAAAAAACTGCAAGCTGCAGTGGGGAGTATGGATCACTGAACATAAAACCACAAGCAACAGAAAACTAAGAACACATATGTGCTTGACCTCAGCACTGCTGCCTGTGAGTTGTTCTCAAACCAACAAAAACATTTCGGTGGCTGGAAAAGATGAACAGGCCTGCTTGCCAAACTATTCCAGGGGGCAGAAAAGACAGCTGGACTGCTGGTAAAGAACAAGGCTATTTAAGGAGACTCACTCTGGCCTAATGGAAAATGCAAGGATATAATTATCAATTATTTTAAACTAAAACAACATTTCAGATCCAGGAAAAAAAACATCACAAGGAAGCACAAGAGAAGCTGGTTGGATTCGGCTGGCAGCTCAATCCAGGTACAAAAAGAGCAGAATGTGCTGCTCTTTAGAAGCAAGAAAATGAGATGTTTTCCACAAGATGGTGATTCTGGACAGTGCTTCAACCTACAAAGCAAACTCTGAATGCAGCTGCACTGTTGTTCCAAGCACTGACACAAAGCTGATCTGATCACAGAGGCTTGGGTTATCACAAGACAGCCACAAAAGCAGTCAGTGGAACAGAGCTAAAGGAATTATTTTTAAATATATGGCCATATGTTTATATCTCCAAGTCATACCGATGATCTGCTTTCTCTTTCAGCCCTCTGGGCAGCTGCTCCGTGTGTGCTGCACAGTGTTCCATATTAAAAATTCCTATGCAAAATTCTGGCTGTCACCCAGAACGCGTGTTACAGAGCAAGCACAAAGCCAAATAAACAACACTCCTAGAGTCTCTGTGAGAAGGGCCCAATACACAACTGTCAAGGGGGACTCAGAGCTGGAATCTCCTAGAGGGGTAAAGCTCTTGAGCGTGACCGTCAAGTGCAGCCTTGTCTCCTGCAAAGAAACCCACCGTTACTGAACTCATCACCATTCTTTTACCACTGCCTTAGTCACAGATTAACAGCCTCTGACTTCTGCATGGCTGCCCCATCAGATGCTCAGAAGTCACAACAGCATTTAATATGATTTTTAATGAGGGAGGGCAGCAGATTTTTTTTTGTTTAACAGGAATGCTCCGTTCAGAGCACAATGCCTGTTACAAAAAAGGGCCAAAACTTTGCTTCAGAATTCAGTCAAAAGTGCAAGTTTAAAAGAATTCTGAACATATTTATGTCCTGTTCCTTAGCATTTCCTCTGCTAGCAGTTGCGTAACGGTTGGACTTGATGATCTGAAAGATCTCTTCCAACATAAACGATTCTGTAATTCTACAAATTACAGCAATACAGCTCTATAAATACATGTGACAGCCCAAGAGTTGATTGTCACAGTATATGACAAAACTTTTACAAGAACATTCCCCAGGACTTTCCAAAATTAACAACTGTGAATAGCTTTTGTAATACCTATTCAGGACTGAAGCAGATTAAATCTTTCAGAGATTTAAATACACACGCACCAAAGAATATCTTGTTTACACAGTGTTACGGTCTGCACTGCAAAGCTGTAAAATGACTGTGGTGCTTATTCACATCACAGGATGTGTTCCTTGCTGGCTTCTAAGAAACCAACAGTACTTGATTTTGAGGGCCAGAACATCCTTCTGTCTTGTTGAATCTCCTGGGTGAAACATAAGTGAATGAGGCGGGGAAGAGTGCCAAGATACAGCATAGGAAATTCAGCAGGTATAAACTGGATCTGGAAATGAAGCTGGTGATCTAATATGCTGCTGACATAGCCGCTCATAAGTAAATCATACTTCCTGGCTCTCTGTGTCAGTGGAGGTGCTATAGGGTATTTTACAGTAACCCTCAGGTCCCAATCAAATTTTCATCTGAACGGTTTTATTCAGCCTCGTGAACTCCCACAGGAGCTATGCTGGACATGACATTCTGCCCATCAGTTTCCACAGTACTATACAGTCAGCTCTGTGCCTCTAGCCTGGTTGCATATATTAAAGCTTGGGGTTAGGACTGCGGTGTATCAGAGTCAAGGTCTCCACTAAGAGAATTGGGGTATTTAAAGTAACAGCACAGCCCAGGCAATATTCCTGTGGTGGGTAACTGACTGCCACGGGACATCCTGGGTCAACCTCCATTCCTGGCCACCCTGTCAGAGTGGCTTGATGGACAAGGCAGGACTGGGTATTCATTCGCACTTGGCATTTGTAGATGGCCAAAATGTTTGCCCCAAGTGGATTTTATTGAGTGACTCCATCTCCAGGGGTGATATATTAAAACAGAAAAATAATCTGACTCTCCTGGTGAAAAGGCACGTCACAATTGCCAATGGATAGAGAAATGCAGTTGCTGGCAGTCCTAGACAGCTGCTATTTAAGGATGTCTATAGATATGTAACACAGGTGGCGTTTCCAGAAATCCCAACTGGAAATCCTAGGGAGAAAAAAACGTATCTTAAATGCCTAAAATTAGATATGACCAATACCAATTCTGTGGGCTTGGGGAGCTAGCTGATTCCTGCCTAGGCTGGACAAACAGTTCTTGAGATGACTGAACGCTGTGTGGTTTTACTTTTCAGCTGTGGAAGGATTTGTTCTGGTATTTAGAGTCACACTGAGGGCCTCTGTGTGCAGACACAGGGAGAACTGGTGAGCAAAAGTTTCACTGCTGCACTGGTATTAGAAACGCTCAGAAGCGACACTGTTGTTTTGTTGGCTAGCAGCTGCACGGAAAACTCTGGAAGGATATATTGGTGAGCCCCATGTTCCAGGGGTCTCTGACCCATCCCAACTTCTATTCGACAGCATTAGCACAATTCACTTGGGATATGTGAGGACTGGATCAAATCTGAGAGGAGAGTTCAGTTAGGCCTAAGGAAGTTGATGGCAAGCAGAGAAAGGACGAAAGCCATCACGCACGTGACACAGCACCAGAATGTCCAGTTTTGTGTCGTTCAGCCCAGGAATTGTTGGCCTTCATATAATTCAATGCATGTCACATGCCCCAGGATGAAACCAAGGCTAAAGCCTGCTGTCATCACAGGCACTTGAACTTACCCATGAAGAAATACTCTGGAGACTTTTTCTCTGAAGCAAAGCCTGCCATAACCCCACCAAACCGCAGCCATAGACCAAAGGCAATGACAGCCATTCCTGCCAGCTGGAAGATAAACAGACCAGTCAATACTTCAGTACCAATTGGCTGGAGAGCATCAAAGAGGCGTCATTGACACCTTATGCTTTCTTGAAATCCCACAGCTCAGGATTGCACTGTCAGAAAATTCAGGAAGCACTTGCTTACATTATCGAGAACAATGAATTCCTGTTATAGTGCAACGTACTTCTTTCTTTCAGCTCTTCAGTGTAGCAGTGCTTCTGAACTTACTAGTGACTTGCAAACCTTGTAAGTAAGCTCGTTCAGTCATCAAAACTTGGCTGGAATTGCAATGGGGAATGGAGCGGGGTGCGGAGGGGAAGCGAGTGCCCGTGAGAAGAACAGACAGGCTGCCAATCCAACGGGGAGCACTCTGCCATCCTTCCCAACCCTCGGAACCGCACTGGAGTCAGGCAGTATTGCAGGAGGCCACTCAGGGCCTGGGTCTGGCGTCAAGATGTGGTTACTGTAGGAAAAGCACCTGTGCTGGTTTTGGCTGGGACAGAGTTAATTTTCTCCATAGTAGCTAGTGTGGGGCTGTGTTTTGGATTTGTGTTGGAAACAGTGCTGATAACACCGGGATGTTTTTGTTACTGCTGAGCAGCACTCACACAGAGTCAGGGCCTTTTCTGCCTCTCCCCCCACCCCACCAGCGAGCAGGCTGGGGGGGCACAAGAGGTTGGGAAGGGACACGGCCGGGACAGCTGACCCCAGCTGCCCAAAGGGCTGTCCCACACCACAGGGTGTCATGCTCAGCCTGTAAAGCTGGGGGAAGAAGAAGGAAGGGGCAGATGTTCGGAGTGATGGCGTTTGTCTTCCCAAGTAACTGTTACGCGTGATGGAGCCCTGCTTTCCTGGGGATGGCTGAGCACCTGCCTGCCGATGGGAAGTAGCGAATTAATTCCTTATTTTTTGCTTTGCTTGCCTGTGCGGCTTTTGCTTTACCTATTAAACTGTCTTTATCTCGACCCACGAGTTTTCTCACTTTTACCCTTCTGATTCTCTCCCCCATCCCACGGGGGGACTGAGCGAGCGGCTGGGTGGGGCCTAGCTGCTGGCTGGGGTTAAACCACCACAGCACCGTACAGGGCAGTGCCGTGTGACCAGGAGCTAAGCCCTGCTGGCTTGACACACACCAAACTTTTAGGACAGAAGTAACTTAATTGACTTTTTTTTCAACGCTCCTAGCTGTTTTAGGGCTAAATTACAGCCTTCTGGGCTGAGAGGCGCCCCTTTCCCCTTTATGTATCACAGGTCCAGCTCCAGTGTCCCAGGACAGAGGATGCTGCTGAGAGACCAGCTGCACCTCTAAATCATCACACCAAACTACAGGAGACCGCCTGCCATTTCAGAACTGCTCCTGCTGCTCAGTTGTCAGGAGGGTTCTGTTTAGAGGCTTACCAGAAAGCGAGGCTTGTATTGTTCTTAGGGATGTGCTGAAGTTAAATGTGTTTGGACCGATTACAACAGGGCATTTTTCTGTAAATCATCAGAACTAGGAGGTAAAAGGATTATTGCAGCATACAATATCTTGGATCACGGAAATGACTGACAAACAACGGATGGATGCTGTCAAACGGAAGGAAAAATTCCCTTTAATGCGAACAAGACTAGATCAAAAAGGAGCGTCGAGGCATGTTGTTGGAGGGGAAAGATCTGTAGACAGTGGTCTCAAACGCACCACATGCCAGACATCTTTGGAAGCCTACCAGGCAATGGTGCGTGTCCTGGCAGACGGCTTCAGCGTCCTGCAGGACCAGGCACAGTGCTCTGCTGCTGCTCTGACGGAGGCCTGGAGCCTAGGTCTGAACGAGGTTCACAAAACACCTGCAGCTCACCTGGCGCGGTGCTTTTTTATCTGTCCTGCATTGCCTGGCACTTGATTCTTCTGGCATAGCTACAGCAAGCAAAGAAAGCAGGCAAGCGTATGGCTGAAGAGCTTGGGATCACGGCTTTCCTCACGGAAGCGTCACAGCATGGAGGGTGAGGGTGCCCTGCCACCCTGTCACAGCATTTGAACCTCACTGCTTGCAGGGCCAGGCTCAGCCTTCGGACCGCCAGAGCGCCCCGGGAGCCCCCTCCTCTCAGCCCAGGCCTCTGAGTGCCTCTGGGCACTTGGATGTGTTGGAAATGAATGCCCCCAGTCCAGCTGAGATGGTTTCTTCCATCTTAATGAAAAGGCAGATAACAAAACACAGTAATTGTCACTTTTGTGAAACAACATAACACAAAGCTTTGTCCTTCTACTGGCTTGCAGCTGCAGCTGGGCAACATCACTCGGCTCCTACAGCTTGAGCACAGCAGCGCTGTGTACCCGGAGCTTGCAGTGCTGTCACCAAGAGGGAAAAGCATTTGGTTTAACTGTGTTTCAAGCATAAAGGAGACAAAAGCCCAAAACTGCTTGCTCCAGAGAGGCTGAACAGGATTATTTTGTGACTTCTTTTTAAAAAACAGTGAATCAGAAAGAAAGAAAAAGACACTTAAGAAGATAACATTGCTAATTGTTTTCCAGTGTGAAAAACTGGAAAGCTACTGGAAGGGGGAACACGGCATGAGGGAAAGTGAAAGAAAAAGGAAAGCATGAATTTAGTTGTGCTCCGCAACTGTCAGACTAATAAAAAGGTGCAGTGAGGGGAGAATGGGCATAGCATTCTCTGAATCTCTGGAGGGTCCTGCAGTAGCCACTATTCACTGACACAGTAGGGTAGCTTCCAGCAGAGTAAATGCAATGTAGTGCAAGGACTTTCCCTGAGGGTGAGTTTGTAAAAGTAGCAGCTGTTGGCTCGCTATTTGAAAGTACGTTATTGAAAAGCATGGTGATGCTGCGAAGGAGCGTTCGGCTGCGAGACGCTGCATGGGATGCTGGGAGCACCCCTCACAGCCTCCTGTCGTTTGCAATGTTACGCTTGTTGGGGAAATGGTCACTACTTCAAATTATCAGCTAGGAAAGATGTTGTCTTCCCTCAGCAATGCCAACGGCTTCCCAGAAGAGCCGTATCTTTATGGAAGCCAGCAGAAG